TAGATTTTTTTTGTGTTAGAATAGAATGGTGTTGGAAGGAAATTATGTCCTTGCATTAACCTTGAACTGTAGAACTCTGACAGAGTTCATAGCTTTCCAGAATGGCCCTGGCTTTTCATGAATCAATATTGCTGATGAATAGCCTCCAGTAAGAGAAGTGTACTTGTCTTCTGTGAAGGATTTTAATTTCCAGCAGAGTGAAGAGACTGCTTTAAAATTTTATTGCATATTGGCTGCCTGCAGTTTTTCCTTTCCTTATGAGTGTGTAATTAATTTCCTTCAGCTTCTCTTCAAAGATTTTTAATGTAAAGTGCATTTAAAACATTCAATCATCAGCTGGACAGAATGGACCACAAACATAAGATCCAATTGCTCCAGGGGTTTAGCCACACTTGCTGTCTGAGAGAATAAGCCAAGTAATGAAATGAAAGAGCTACTGGACCACCATAACACATGCAAAGCATCATATAACAGCTCTGTAGCATGCATTGTAAGATGAAATACAAAATTTCTATCTCTGAATGGCTACGATGGATTGTGTCTGAGATAGAAGAAATGATTTACGATCAGATGAGAAAAATCAAAACCAAATAAGAGATGTTAATATACTTGTTAATATAAAGACAAGTATATTTACTTTCAAGGTAAAATACATAGGTAGTTTAGTGATGGAAGAAAATGAACATACCATCAGATTCAAAGAAAAGAATTTCTTCCTTAAATCTAACCTGAACTTCCCCTGTTTAAGTTTAAACCCCTTACCCCTTGTCCTACCACTACAGTCCTCGATGAAGAGTCTATACACACTAAAGCTATTTTTAAGAATCCACCTTGAAGATGAAAAGTTTGAAAGACAGGAAAAATTACTGAAAACCAGTACTTTCTGTAGCACACAAATGATATAAAAGTCACAAAGGCAGTACAATTGACGTTAACTTTGAAAATGTACTTTTAAAAATAAAGCTTTGGTAAAAGCGTACTGAAGTTTGGGACAAATAGTGAAGGCAGAGCTTATGAGAAGGAATATGGTGACTCTTCAAAAAAACATGGGAAAGCAATCTGATTTTTGTAGCTTTAAATGTTTTAAAGAACAAAACATTTGTAGAGGTTGTGAAATGTAAAATTTTTTTTGAAGAGTTTTTCTCAATCATTTTCTTTTGGAGGAAGGGAAGAGAGTGAGGTTTTCTCTCACAAACATGCCTACTTTAAATAGACATTTCAGAAGCAGAGATTCATGATCCATGATTTTTCTTGCTAGCTAAATTGCCAGCTGCTACATGAGGTCTCCCATTTAAATTCTGTAGATGTTGGTGCTCTGGCTGTATAGCTATGCTAACTTTGGTAGGTTTTTTTCCAGAGCTCTGTGGTTGTAATTATTTTAAATACATAAAAGAATCAGCAATAATGCAAACATATCCTCATCTGAGGGGTTAGAAGTGAGTCCTATCACCTGCAATTGCAGTCATACATGTCACAGCATCATAATTACTTCCATCTTGAAACAACATGGGGACTTTCTATCTCTACTCATAGTGCTAAACTATTCCTGAACTGAAGCGCCTCACTAGTTGAAAGGCTTTTAATTCATGATCTAAATTTATCCCTGGCCTCTTCATATCCATTTACTTTCATGACAGTGTTATCTTTTAGTTTAAAATTCTCTCCTCTTTGCAGGGGCATGTCATTCATAGAACACCAGTTTGTTTTTTCCTAGTAGTGGTCAATCTCTGATATTTTAAGATGTCTGCAGTTTATGGAAATCTCAAGTGCAGTTTTCATTCTTAATTCCATAATGTGCAAGGAGCTGATGCTCATGCAACTGTTTGGTAAGTCAAATAACCATCTATGAAAGGAATTGAGCAAAATGGGCTAACATTATCACATATAAACTGCAACCCAGATTACACGTTACAGTACAGGCAACTACAAGCCTGCAACCCAGTCCAAGTATAGAAGGCCCCTGAGAAGACACAATTTTCCACTTTGAACTATGTCCATTTTATCCGTTCTTTAAGATTTTCAAGTCCAGAAAGTGTCTTTTGGCAATCTGATTATTTCTGCATGATATTTGTAATGTCTACTCTGAATTTAGTCTGCTTTTATATAACATATTATAGGTCATTCCTTTTCACCAAGCTAGTATACATGAAAAACAATATCTTATATTTTGCTGAATTTTTTCTTCCAGAAAGCTGTACTGTCTTGGCCAGTACAATTTGATCTTCTGTTAAGTTACTTTTACTATTAAACTATTAAACTGCTCGCCTAAATTCCCATTTGAATTTGTTTGTTTCTCATTGATTTTTGTTCTGCCTTTCTTCTTCAGATCAATGTCCAGCATTTTCTGCCCCTTTGAGGTATTTACACTTCAATGTTATTTTTCAATCTTCTTTTTGATAAACAGGTCGATCTCTTAAAGTCTCTTACTTTAAGATTTCCCTAACTCTCAGAGCTTTAGTAGCTTTGTTCAGTACCTTCATAAATGTCTTAATGTCCTTTTAAACCTTGGACAAGGAATTTGATGCAATATGCAAGAACTAGTTTCATCAATATCATATAAAATAGTAAGTGAACATAATGCTTCTACTCTCGATATTTCCACACTATTGGATAACACAGTAGTGCAGTGAGAACTTTACCACAATAGTGCTGAGTTCTTCAACATGAATTATGAACCCTTCTTCAGACTCAGCTGCTTTTTCCAACTCTGCCCACACTCCCAATTCGTCTATCATCTCTTAACATCCTTCCTTTGTTTATTTTAAACTATTCTACTTAAATGGACAGAACGTAGGATATGGGTTATTTTATTGGCCTCCTCAATATTTATAAATTATTTATTTATTTATTTTCAACTCTTAGTCTTAAACCATTGATAATTTTGTTTTTCCTTTCCAGATGGTAGATGGCAGTGCTGAACACCATTCTTACTATGACTCCCTACAATAGCTTTTTGTCTAGAATTTAGGATGTGGGTGCTGTTCTAGACAAGCCGCATCTTGGCTGTGATGGGCTGCTTTTCATTGTCTAACATTTTTATCCCAATATAAATGTCTCCAGCTTGACCTAACAGTTTCAGACTCAAATATGATTTTTGGTAGGTCATGCACTGTGGCAGACATGTTTTTCTATCTCAGTCCATGAAACTTCAATGACAGTCTTGAAGGTACGGCGTAAAGCTAAACTCTCCTCAGATTTTAAGTGAACACTTATTTAACAGACAGAATAGACCAAAGACAAGAGTAATTATAGACGTGGTGATTCCAATTCCAATTTAGAAATTTATGAACAATCTATAAATATGCAAATCACACATAGAATAGAATAAACACTAGATAACAAATTAAGCAGAAGGATTTCAGTTCTCTGTTTTCAGTTGATATTATTATTTAGAAATTGAACTGAGTTTTAATTAAAATATGAGTTAACCACAACATTCTAGAGGTTTCTATGTTCATATTCTGTGCATGTCCAAGTTTGTAATACTCAAGACTTAATATGACATAATTACTAATTTAAGATATTAAATCCAAAGTTCACATTTGAAGACAGATATTTTTTAGCAGACCTTCTAAATGGCGTTTGCTGTAAAACTGTAACTTCTCATGTCCTGAGTAACACAGTGTTTGGAGGAAAAAAATTACATTCCTAGTCTGCAGTTAACATTGCATCTGCACACACACATACCTGTATGAAATTTTCCCATTTTGGAACTCCATCCATTGTTAACAAGCAAAGTCCAGCATAGGTTTTTTACATGTTAGAAAATTCCTAAGGATTTTAGGGTTTTCCCTGGGCTTACTTCTAAACAAAAGCATTTTTAAGCACTTCTAAAAAAAGTGAATTGGCAATAATAAGAGACAGCCAAGCAGGTAAGAAGTCAGAAGAAATGGGAAAAGCTCTTTATCTTTTTTGAGACTGCAAAAGCCATGAATGGTTTTATTTGCATTGTGTATCACAATGTTACTCAGAAATTTATATGTGTATATATATAAATATATATATATGTATTTGCTGACTGTATTGTTTTTTCAATGCATTGGCCAGCACTCAAGTAAGGGTTCCACAATAACAGTCTTTTTCATTGGGTCCACATGGCTGATTGCACTGCCAATACTCTTCTCACTTAGCATGTGTGGAGCACACTTTAGAATGTCAGTGGGAGTTCTGTATGCATATGGAGAGGAGGCTATATGAGATGACATTTGCCATGTGGCCCTGAGATAAAAATTTTGCCCTGAATTTTGCCCCTAATTCCTTCAGTAAGTTGGTTTTATTCCACTGCAGCAGGTACTTTTTTTTTTTTACAGAAAAATAACCTCTAAGACACAGATAAAGAATACCATTTGCTAAGAGACTGTTTAATATGTAGTGTTACGTTTAAATATCAATATAAAACATCAGCTGAACAAAAATTGGTGTAGTAGTACTATTCCATGAAAGACAAATAAACTAGATTGGAAAAGACCTTTAAAATCATAAGGTCCAGCCTTTACCCTAGGACTGCCAAGACCACCAATAAGCCATGTCACTAATGGCCTCATCTACACATTTTTTTGAAAACTTCCAGGGATGGTGATTCCACTATGTCCTTACTATTTTCTTTCTCATCTGGACTTCTGTTACACCACACCCAGTTAAAAAAGATTCATTACAGCATAGACTCCAAATTATGACATTCCACATGCACAGCTTTTGTGTAGATGACATAGTTTAACTATGTGATGATGAAATGACTACCATTGACTGAAAGTCTTATTAATCTACAAAATCCTGAAGAAGAGGTAACAGCAACCTATAACTAAGCAGCTTAACAAAATAAAATTTACACATAAAAAGACAGATAGGAAAAGCATTTATTTGCTACTACTATTCTTGAAGTATAAACTAACTGGAAAGGCAATCTTAGCTTTGCTATTTTCTTGTTCATACAGAAAGTAAATTACAAAATCTCTAACAAAATTTCATTTGTTTGTTTGTTTGCTTTTCCTTGCTGTTAGCTTGGTAGCCACAAAGGAAACAGACAGTGCAAGATCGCGCAGCATGCCGATGTCGCCATCTGATTTCCTGGACAAGCTAATGGGAAGGATGTCAGGCTACGATGCAAGAATCAGACCAAATTTCAAAGGTAATTTCAAATCTAAACTTTTAGTTTTTCAGTATTTCAATATTCCTTCTCACACAAATGCAGTTCCTGGAATAAGTATGAAAACTAAGAAGTACACTCACTGAAAAAACAAACAAACAAAAAAAAAAGCCTTCTTTTGCCTTTCTTTGTTGTGACAGTTCATTTCAGCAGTAATATTCTCTATTTCTGTCATTTTTACAGCTTTCCAAATACAGACCTTTTTCAAAATTAACCTATCACTAGGTTTCAATTGTCTAATACAATTAATTTTTTTTCTTCTGGGGGTTTAGTGGTTTTTGTTTGGGTTTTTTTGGTTTGGTTCAGTTTGGTTTTTTGTTGGTTTTTTTCTTTTTGTGGTGGTGGTGGGTGAGTTTTTTTCTAACTTTTTTTATAATTTTTTGACATCAACTCCCAGAAATGTAAGTGGTTATGACTCTATTTGCTAGTGTTGTCAGAATTTGTCCAGATTGATTCAAAAAGACCAAGTTGTTTGCCAAAGTACTTCCTCACAGTAAGCTATAAACAGTTGGTGCTGTGTATATACAGTTATTAACCAGGATTGAATGCAGCTGGAAATGTTTTGCTTTTAATAAGTTAGTGGTGTTGATATTTCTCAGAAAATGATAAATGTGCACTGGAAATTCAAACACATCAGTAAGCGATCAATATCCCAAGCAACCACACAGAATAAGTCCCTTGGACTCTCCTTGCCAGAACTACTTTGAAGAATGTTCTGGTGCCTGGCTTCCTGGAGGGCTCAACAATACCAAATTTTTTGAAAGTAATGTAAAACACTCCATTTCTAATTTTTTTTTTCTTGTTTGAATGGTAGCTCTTACTTTATTTTTCCTCCTTATTAAAGTTACCTTGACTTGTTGCCACAGTATATTCTTTAGCATGCAAACTGCAGGTTCAACCTAAGGTAAAGTTTTGCTGGGCAGAAGACCTCAGGCAAAGTCTAAACCCTGCAGTTTTTCTTCTTTCTTCTTTGTGTTTCCTGAAGACCTGCATACAGGCATTTAAAAGTGAGTTTACAGCTTAGGAGTTGATTTAGAGATTGGATTTTGGAGATTGCCATGGACATCATGCAATCACAGTGTTCTGATGGAGCTACAGTGAAGAACAGGCAGATGATTTAAAGACTAGCAAATTCAATACAGTACTTCTTGAAAGTATAATTCAAAAAACTTAGAAACTTGTTTTGTAACAATTGAAATTTAAAGAGACAAAACCTAATTTGACATTGTTCTTTTTCAAAAAGTGCACGTTCTAAATCTTCTAGACAGCTACACACTTTGAACAAATCTGCCCAGAATGATTCAGACCTATCACTAAGAATAAGTATCTCCTTCAGTGACTTTGCCACTTTCTGGTGGCAAGTGCTGAGGTTTAATGCCTTTTTGAATTTGTAATGTGGCAACAATTTTAAAGAAACAGAATGAGTACTAATAAGAGAATTCAGTCAATAATTTTAAACAATTTATTCTTGCAGTAAAATTCCTACTTAGACAAGATCTTTAACTACTGATTTTAGTCATAGTTAACTTTGGTCAATAGCATGTAATCATTTTGTCTGAATGCCCTGCTTTTGGATAAGGAATTCTGCATATCTGTTCTTGTTCAGCAGAAATAATAGAGAAGACTGTTGGTATTTATTTAGCTATGGAATAAAACCAGAAATTTAAGAAACCTTGCAAAATCTTTGTTCTAGCCACAAATTATTTACTTTACCCAGTAGATCAAACCGATATAAAGACGCTTCTCTTCTTACTCAGCTGTTCCACATCCCAGACTCTCTGTTTCTTATAAATATGAGAAATACTTTATCGCCTTTCAAATTTGGACACAATTATGTAATCCATGTGTAAAAATTGTCATAGCCTCAAGATGCTCAGAATTAATCTGATACAGAAGAGGTGTTATAATTTTAAATCTATATAGCCCAGATCACAACACTGGTAACAACGTGTTAATTTTGGAAACATGGAAATTTTGGGATTTACATAGGAAAGTGTAAAGCATTCCTTGCCTTTGTATTGACAAAAAGTACTCACCTAATCATTAGTTTAGGAGCTTCTTAAACCAAGATTTAATTTAAAAAAATAAATTAGATAAATATGTTCATCTCATCACTTCTGGAAGCAGTTTTGGCCTTTCAATGCAGATCCATGGGGTAACGCACCAGCAATCACCTTGCAGTTTGAAAAATCGCTATTTATTCCTAAAAGTAAGTAACTTTAAAGCAAAAGGCACCGTCTTTCATTTAAGACTAACATCTTTAAAGACCCTTTGAAAAAAGATCATGTTGAAAAGTTATTAAAACTCCAAATAAACTAGTTTAATTAATTTAATTATACACTACAATTAAAGTTAATACTTATTTAATCTTATTAGACTGCCTTTACTCATGCACTCATCAGCTCTTTCAGAGAGTTTCAGTAGACCTGAGAGACACTATTTCAGCAAAAATACTATTAATCCACATCTGTTAATCACAATAGTTGTCCTAATTTCTACCAGTTTGGCTGGTACAGAGGTAAGGTTTACAGGGATAAAGCTCATTGTCAATGTCATCCACTATCACACCTGAAGTCTGATTAGCTTTTTTAATTCAAGTTACACTTGCTTCCGCTGATAACAAAACTGATGCAGGTTATAGCTGACTCAAAGTGATTTATATTTCCACACTTTTACAAAGATTTTGTTATTGCCTGGCTTGATATCACCTCAGCCTGTCAGTTTGTCCTGATCACTTAGTCTGAAACATCTTCTACAGTCCTCATTCAAATCTTCCATCAGAATAGCTACAGTATTTGACACAGCAATTGGGGACAAAAGATGCTCAAAGACTTAGTTTTTCTCTTCTGACCTTCTTCACTTTCATGGGTACTTTTAATCATCTTTTCTTGAATTCACCTTCCAGATGTTGGCAGGATTCTATTTGTAACTCCTTGCAGATAGTTATCACTGTTAGCATTTGTGTGTCTAGTGAGTGTCAGCTCTGTTTTTTATTCCTTGTCTTTAATCTATGTTCCATATGTCTGAGTTCCTGTGTTTGAATATGACTTCCAGTTTTAACAGCTTCATTTGTGTTTCTTTTTAATATGTTTTGGGAAGTTCTTTTTTACTCTCAGCACAGTATCTTTAAATAATCTCTAAATCATTTGTAAGCTGGTTTTAGCTTCTCCTTTTGCACTGTTTTTAACTAGATGTTAACTATACTGTTGTAATACTGCTTCTGAAATTAAGCATTGTAGTGATTTATGGCTTTTTCTTTATAAAAGCAACTATGTTTTTTGATATAGCACACTTATACCTCAAAGCATAGTAATAATTTAATCAAGGTAGTATCATACCAAATTTGAAATGATGACAAACACTATAACATGAAAATGCTTTAAAAGAAATCTGTGTTGCAAAGAAATAATCTAACATAGCCAAGAAGTACAATTTTCTCCCTGACAGTTTTTAGTGACTCTGCCTTTGTTCATCTCCCCTGCTTTTTCTTTTCCCCTTGATCCTTTTCGGGAGCTGTCTATGTTAAGCTTTTACTGAATTCTAAGAAATACTGAATATGCTCAAGAACAGCTCTAAATAATTAACTGGATATCAAAGTGAAAGTAGTGTCAAAGTGACTGCAGATCAATACCTCCTTACTTGAGAATTCTGTTCCATAGGATGCAGTCTTGTGTATTACAGTGACTGAAGTACACGTAGTGATGTTTTGTTGAAATTGCTACACAGTATTTCAAAGCAATTGTTGCTGTGAAGAAAGAAGAATGTTTCAAATTTTTTCCTATTGGCAGAATTTTTAATGGATGTTCTGGATCTTCAAGTATTTAATATTGAGTTCATTGGTCACATTAGATTTTTTTAGTTGCAAAGCCTCAACAGTTGCAGGGAAGATGTTTCTTCAATGACCCTAAAAAGAAATATTATGTAAGGGTTTGTAAGACCAATCCTCAAATTCCAGATACAAATCTTTCATTACTAGTGGCTGCTTAAAACTACAAAAAGAAACCAGGTTCTCCAGTCCTGAACTGGATTATTGGTATAGAAGAATATTAAAGGGCAAGAGGGTGACCAAAAAACCTTGCAATGGAAAAAATCTTGTTTCTGCTGCACAGAGATTGAAAATGATAAGATTTAATGGACAAATTAACATGCTCTACCACCATGCCATTTTTACAGAGACTTTCAGAGAAATAATTTAAAACCTTTTCCATGAAGAGACAATTCATTGTTCAGTTATCATAATGACTGCGCTGCCACTACTGATTCATCACACATGCAAGATAAGACAGAACAGCAGTTGCCTGAAGACTCATGGTAACAGAAAATTCAGTTTAAACAGATTATTAACCATTTTGTGAATTTGAGAGGAATGAGAATAGAATCTTTCTTTCTTATCCACGTTTTTTTCCTGTAAGCAGTAGACATAAGAGCAGAAACAATGTATTTCTGTTACCAATGATGACAGATAACATTAAAGGTAGCAGATGCCTTGAGTGAAGGCTATTTTTATCCCTAATTGTTGTGAGAAGCGCATACACTGCTTGCTGAAACACCCATGAAAACCTAGGTTACTATATATTTCAAACAGGTGCTGGTTTTTTTCTTTTTTTGCACAGAAACATCTGTGCAAGTTAATAATCAACTTTGTCTCTTTTTATTATTGCTAAAACTGTCCAGTCAAGTAGCCTACCTTCGAGAAAAATCAAAAGGAAATTTATTAGGAACTATTCACTTTGTGCACTAAATGAGTTGTGCATGTAGCATTATTTCATCCTAATTAAATTTTTTAAAAATCATATTTTTTTATATTTTATAGTCAGTCAGTAAGGTAAAGGAACTGGTTTTTTGTTTCTTTTGCAGGCCCTCCAGTTAATGTCACATGCAACATATTTATAAACAGCTTTGGATCCATTGCAGAGACAACCATGGTAAGATATTTTACCTCAAGCAGTGATTAAAGTTCAAATTAAATGTGCTCAATGAGCTCAAAAGCTAGCTAAGGCTTCTCTTCACCTGGAACTAAATGAAGAAGGAAATCCACTTCTAAGAACAGAAGTGAGAACACTTAATTTGGCAACTGATTCTTTCAAACAGAAAATTCATCATTATACCATCAAACACACAAGTAAAGCCAAGGGTTGCCTTTTTTTCATAACTTTTATTTGATAATTGTAACAAACTCACTATTTTCAACTAGATAGATATTAGTTTCTATAGTGTTACACTTTTCTAACCTCAAAAATGTCAATTCATTAAGTTGCTTTGTTAATAATATTTTATAATTTCATTATATACAGTGTATATAGGGATGTATACTTTATTTTAAAAGTCCTTCATCAATAGAGCTGTTGCACAGGCATATTAGAATAACTGAAATAGTGATCTAGTATATTATGAATTCTATGAGTGTGGTAAATATGCTTTTTGTATGTACACTTATAATTTGTCTATTAAAGAAAGGCAGAAGATAGAGTTCAAGAAGACTGGAGATATTAAGAAAATAAGGAGAAAGAGAGGTTCAAGTCTAAAGATAGTAAAACTAGATATTGAACTGTGAACTGACAAAGAAAACTTAGATAATATTATTTAACATATAAAACATACATGCTAATAACTTGGAGCACAGATTTACTCTTTAAAAATTGGTGAAAGAGGTGATATGGGCATTCTTTCCCCATAAAAATACCTCATATATTTTGAAGAAAGGCAAACGAATACCTTTGAAAATAGTTAGATAGTAATTTGGGGACAAAGAGGTTTAAAATATAGAGAGATGAAGGAAAAACTATGAGTCTGTAAAATCCAAATATAGTAAATATTCTGAAATCCCAACAGTTTCAGGGGTCAGGATACATACGTGGAATGACAGAAGAGACTAAAAATAATTGGTGCAGCCAAAAAAAAAGAGGGAAGGGAATAATCCTAAGCAAAAGCCGTCCTTCTCAATTACCAGTAAGAGCAAGAAAAGACCTTTGACTTTTGAATGTACCAAGAACCTATAGTTAGAAAATCAATAACACAAATTCATAAAGTCAAATATTTATGCAACCCATATCCAAAGTGATGATCACAACTGCCTGACCTTTACCCACCTTGGAACATAGTGGTAGATGTTACTGAGAAAGGCAGATAATTTTTTCCAGGTAGAAAATTACTTTAATTTGTATCTGGGGGCCTTGCCAAATTGCAAATCCCAAACAGATTGACATGTCATCCGAGGAGATTTAGTCAGGTTAGACCAGAGGATTAAGCAATATCCACATGATTAGAATAGTGTTCCATAGCTGCTTTTCAATGGCTGAATGGGTGTATCTGGTACAAACCAGGAGACAGACCACGGGGTCAGTAAAACACAAAAATCCAGCAATTAGATTACTATAAAAAGCATATTTAGAAATACAAAGTTGCTACCAGTTTAAAAAATTGTCCTGAATTTGGGAAGAGAATGCCTGAGTTCACATCTCAAGTGTGTTTATGAGCATAGAATTAGAAACATTTCCTTTAAGTGTTATTTAGTACAATACTTCTATTTTATAATGGTATTCAATTCTGTTCTGTGTTGCATTGAAAGTACATTAAAACAGTTGAGATGATAGACTACAGCCTGATCTGTAAAAAATAAGTAGTATGTTACAGAAGATACCAAACCCAGGCAGAAACACAGGGTTTTTCATTCAGTCAATTATATGCATTCAAAAACTGAACAATTAAGTACAACCTTGACTTTATGAGAAATGCTGCCTTTATGATGCTGGTATTCTGTGTATAATGTATTCACTGATACACAGTATGTTTCGTTTATGGTCAGCAGCTGTTGACTCCTCAGGAAAACAAATGCTTTTATGGAGATGGGACTTTCAGTCCTTTATTTTATTAGCTTTAACTTCTTCACAACTGAACATCTGAAGATGAATATCTTCTGAAAAACATGAACATCTGTCTATCTTAAAATTACAATCAAAACCATCTTTCATTATTTTGCAAGCTGAATTTCTGCATCGTTGAACAAAAGTCACTTCACAGCAGTTCAGTATTTTACCAATCATCACTATGTTACTATTTATTTACTGTAGTTCTTAAAATTCAGGTAGCTGTGTTCTAACATTTATTCTAAATCTTTATGCATAAAACAAGTCATTAAAACAATCTCTTAGACTCAAAAAGAGTCAAATTCTTGATAAATACTTTTTTTCCAAACTGTAAACAAAAGAGCTCAAGTAAGAAACAAGTGCAAAATAAAACCTGGCCACTAAGTGGTACCTTGAATTCTCACTGATATTTAAAACTACCAGCTGAATAATTAGCTTTCAAGAAGTCCGAGTACACCAAGCCGCTATTGCGATTGCTCTTGGCGCTGTCAGTCTCTCTCCCAGTCTCTGGCTCTCTCACTGATGACCAAAATCTTTGGGCTCCCTCTGCTGCTTTGGCTATGTATAACACAGTAAAAACAGAAAAACAATGGGTTAAAACCAAACCTGGATCAGCTGCAAAATAGCACGGTGCCAACTTTACATTATAGGACTCTATAGTTTGCAGTAAGGAAGAGGAATTTGTCAACGCACAATGGGAACTTACAGCATGTGGCAGAAATCAGCTTTCAGTAAGTGCATTCTCTAAAAACATACACACCTGGTCTAGCTACCAGAAGAGACAGCCAAACCAAAGCGGCTTAATTTGGCTTACAGCAGCTGGTAAACTCTGTAAATTGGTTCTTTCTTCTTTTGGAGGTTTGCTTGGGTTTTTTTTACATTTCTTTTGACTTATTTAGAGTATGGGTTACTGTTGGGAATTCATATTCCCTTTCTTTTTTCATAGTGTTGAAAAGGCATGCCACCTCTTGCTTAGGAATTTATGTCATGTACACTCTGAGGAGGCAGAGAAAAAGTAAACCACATAATCTAAAACTCCCTTAAACAAACTTTCCTGATGGGCACAACTTAAGGTCCAGCCTTGCCAATCTTTCTGTGTTATTGAGCCAAATGGTAGTACCAGACCTGTACATGTCTGATGATATTCACAAAGCAAGTATTTCACAGTCATCCTCTAGTCAAGTAAAACTCTTGTTTCATCACCTGTATAAGGGAAAATCTACATCCAGTCTTTCTTTCTTTACATGGTGCTACTATTACGCTTTTCTTCAATTGGAATTTTGAAATCTTAAAGAATATGAGATTAAATAAAAATGTGGAAGCCCAGCATAAAATTACTCTTTCATTATAGGAAATTAACATAAATAACAGAAATTAACATCTTGCATTTTTTATTTAAGATAGTGACCTTAACCTTAAAAATCTGATAAATCAATAGTATTGCTTGGTCATGTTAAATTTAAATGTATATTGTCAATGTGGGAATTGTATCCTACAGGAAACCAAATAATTTTCTTATTGGTACACTGGAACGGAAATTTCAGGCTTTATCACAACAGCCTCAAAAGCTTACAGAGGGTTTGGTGGGTTTTTTTGTAGCTCAAGCTGTGCTAAGCTTGTATTTGCACTGTATCTCCGAATAAGCAGTGTCAACATAAAAAGAATATACTGTTCAGTTTTACAGGGTAAGAATAACACCAATGCCAACATTTTCAGCTACAAATATTTACAGACACAGTAAAGAATACATGGAGCAAAGGCTACAGAGCAGTGAGCCTAAAGAGCAGATAGTAGGCCACACCAAAAAACCTTTTATTCTAGTAAATATGACTGACCAACTTCTGCAAGGTCTTCTGAATTTTAAAGGTCAGGAACAACACTTTGGTCTTAATCCAGATTTACAGCAGTATTTACCAAGTATATATTAATATGCTTAGCATAATGTACGTGCTAAAAGTTTATTGAAAGGGACACTCGTTGAGAGACTAATGGCAAATTATAACAGTGCAGACAACACATTCAAAAGCATAAATCCCTTACTTCTTCCTGGCACATTTTTGCTGATGTGTATTTCTTGATTTAGTCTCTAAAGAACTGTATTATCCTGAATGTTGTTAGGAAGCAGGTGATATACCTTTTTGTAGTCTAAAACACTAACAATTTTATCTTACATTTACAAATAAAATGTGCTTTTAACCTACATTAACCCACATTAACCCGTCTTTAAACCATCATAATTACTCTCCTTTACAAGTCACAGCTTTTTAATTTCATTAGCTTCATCTTCAAGTGAGTATTTCTGTTTAAATTCTATTCTACCTATTCTCTTTAAATAGAGTGCTTGAAAGGAGTGTTCATTTGTATACATCGCAAAGCTTAATGCTGAAGCATTTCACCAAATATTTTTCCTAATTCCTTTTTAGTTGATTGTCTCAATGCAAGGAAATATGTGGCTTTATTTGGTGAAAATATGCTGAAAAATTCTGTGCAGTGGATATAGTAATGTGTTAATACTGACGTGACAGACAAATACCTACATTGCACAATATTTATCTCAAATAAGTGAACATGCAATAAAGGCCACTTTATAGTTTCAAGATTACAAAAAGTATTCAATATTTTTACCTATTTGATAACTCCCTTCAATCAAGGCACGGAGAAGTAATTAAATTGTTATTGTGTGAGTCTGAAAGACAGATTATTTAACATCCTTCATTTTATCATTAACTTGCCTCTGACACCCTGGGCCTGGGTTGTAGGCTCAGGAGTAGAAAGAGGTTTTTCACATTATAGTGGGTCTGCAGCTGTCCAGTTTGTTATATGTCCAGATGAATCCATGCAAATCCCCCTGATGAGCTTGCATTCTAAGCAGACAGCATCATATCACCCTGCCCTGATACAGCATATTTTCCACACCATACGGAAGTTCTATAATATGCAAAAAAAGAGCTCCAAATCAGTCAGTTTTATAAACAACAATGGGAAATACTGTTTTATGCAGTTCTGCTCTGAAACTTTTAGTCTATTGGATGATACTACAACAGTGCAACAGCATGATG